GTGCTGGGTTTTCTCCTTTTTGTTTTAATTTGGGGTGGTTGTTTTGGGAAAGCTGTTTTTATTTATTTATTTCCTACGCTGTAGCTTCACCGGTCGAAGGGATCGCGCCGTGGGTAGGTGTTGGCCACCGGTCCCGGCGGAGGACGGGAGCCTGTGCCGCGGCGGGGCATTGGGGCCGCGGAAAGGCAGCGCACCGGAGCCGTGCCTGGCCCTCCCTGGCTCCGCTGCTGCGCTCGCCTCGGCTAAGGAGCACCACGCTGCTCTCGGTAAAAGTGTCTCTCTCCTCCTTTCTCCTTCTTTCTTCCTAGGATTTTCTCCCGGTCTCGGAAGCCCAACAGACACACCAGCTGCTCCGCCGGCTCGCACCCACCTCGGGAAGATGGGAAGCAAGGCTCTGCCAGCCCCCATCCCGCTGCACCCGTCCCTGCAACTCACTAACTACTCCTTCCTCCAGGCTGTGAACACCTTCCCCGCAGCTGTGGACCAGTTGCAAGGTCTGTACGGACTCAGCGCCGTGCAAACCATGCACATGAACCACTGGACATTGGGCTACCCCAATGTGCATGAAATCACCCGCTCTACCATCACGGAGATGGCGGCGCAGGGCCTGGTGGACTCCCGCTTCCCTTTCCCCGCGCTCCCCTTTGCCACGCACCTCTTCCACCCCAAGCAAGGGGCCATCGCCCACGTCCTCCCAGCATTGCACAAGGACAGGCCCCGCTTTGACTTTGCCAACCTGGCCGTGGCCGCCACGCAGGAGGATCCCCCCAAGGTGGGGGAGCTCGCCAAGCTGAGTCCCGGACTGGCCTCGCCCCTGTCGGGCATCAGCAAGCTGTCCCCGGACAGGAAGCCTTCCCGCGGCCGCCTGCCCTCCAAGACGAAAAAGGAGTTCATTTGCAAGTTCTGCGGCAGGCACTTCACCAAGTCCTATAACCTCCTCATCCACGAGCGAACCCACACGGACGAGCGGCCTTACACCTGCGACATCTGCCACAAGGCTTTCCGGAGGCAGGACCACCTGCGGGACCACCGGTGAGGGACCACCACGACCGGGGTCGGGCCGTGGGCAGTCGGGGTGGGGTGAGCCGCTCGAGGGGAATGAGATTCAGCGGCTCCAGGAGCCACGGAAACAGCACAGGAAAAGCCCGCGGCTCAGATTCGGAGGCCACGGAGGAACCAGGGCAACCGAAACCTGCGCTTTGTGTGGGAAGGGCACCCGCCTGAGGGAGAGCTAGAGGGGTTCACAGCCGGAGATTAAGATCCCGGGGCTTTTGTGCTTCTGAGCCATGACCCTGGGGGGTGCAGGAACAGGACGGGTCGCAGGTGGGCGCTTCCCTGCTGATCCCTCACCCAGCTCCGCACGCTGCGGCCCGTGCTGAGAGACGCCCGCGGCCGCAGAGCTTAGAGTCCTCTCCGCCTTCGGAGAAGAGCGGCTCGGGTCCGGCCAGCAGCCCAGATGCTGTCCCGGTCTGGCACCAGAGAGTGCAGTCACGCTTCGATACGAATTATTGCAAATGTTTTGAACGGGCCAAGAAGTTTAACCATACACAGAATAGTAATGGGGAAAGGAAGGAAGAGGAGGGTGAGGGCGTCTGGGAGAGGGGGTCGAGTTTGGGGAAGCGGGGTCTGGGGTCGCGGGGCCCACGCGCCTCCGGCAGCGCTGCTCACCCACGGGTTGCCTTCCAGGTACATCCATTCCAAAGAGAAACCCTTCAAGTGCCAGGAGTGCGGGAAGGGCTTCTGCCAGTCCAGGACCCTGGCGGTCCACAAAACCCTACACATGCAGGTGAGCCCGCCCTTGCCAGGCCTCTCAACGCGTGTGCCGCCGGCGCTGTTCCGGCCCGGCCCGGCCCGGCTCGGCTCGGCTTGGCTCGCCGCGGGGCAGGGGCGGTGGCCACTGGGGGAACAGGACTCTGGTGCGGAGGGGAGCGAGGGGGGGCCGGCACTGGACGGCTCCGTGGGTCCGCGGGGGAACAGCGGCCCGTGATTACCTCCGCGGCCGCGGGAGACCCGCGGATAAACGGCGCCCTTGGGAGACGGGCTTAAGGACAGCGGGGACGCGGTTGGCAGCGGAGAGTGAGCCCCGTGTTCGGGTTTGTCCGCGCCGCTGCTCCGAGGCGTTTTTCGTTGAGGGCTGCAGCCCTGCCCTGGCGGCGGCGGCGGGCGCGGGATGCGGAGCGGTGCGGTGCGGAGGAACCGCCGTGGCAGCCGGGCGGGCAGAGGGTGTCCCGGAGCGGGAGGGGGCGCGGAGGCTGTTTTCCGTGTGCCCCAGGGGCGCGGAACATCACTACTCGAGAACTATAAAATAAGGCTTTTGGGGCAGGATAGGGAGAGGTGGGCGGCCGCCCGGCCGCACGGGGCTCCTCTCGTTCGTGTCCTCCCCCGATATCTCAAGTTGTGCGTTGCGGTGAGAAAAAGTGCAGTAATACGTTAAACAAGGTGGTTTGTGAAGGATTAATCCTTTGCTTGCTTCAAATCTGAACAGGAATCTCCACACAAATGCCCCACATGTGGAAGAACCTTTAATCAAAGAAGTAACCTGAAAACTCACCTTCTTACCCATACAGACATCAAGCCCTACAACTGTGAGCAGTGCGGCAAAGTGTTCAGGCGAAACTGTGATCTACGGCGGCACAGTCTAACTCACACCCCGCGGCAGGACTTCTAGAGCAGCCAGGGACCCGCGCCCGCTCCGGCAGCTCCAACTTGCCCACTTTACTCAAGGAGTGTATTGTAGGAACTCACAGACGCGCACACACACACGCACACACACACACGGAGACACGCACGCAGACTCGGGGCCAGGCTTTCCTACCACATGTCTGCGAAACTCGTTTAGAGAGTGCGGACTGCAGGATCGGGCCCCTCTCCAACCCAGACCCAAGCATAAAGCTCATCTTGTAGATAATCGCGGCTCATTTTAGAGCTCTGTACAGAACGTGTTTTTTTCTTTGTTTGTTTGTTTGTTTTGTATCGTGTCAGATGCACATCGATAACAAATCATTGAGGCAAAGTATCTCTTTAAAAAGTTATTTCAAAATAAATCTTTTTTTTTTTTTCCAAATACCTCCTGCCTTCTTGTATTATTCTCTGAGCATTTGGGCTTTTTTTTTCCTGCTGTGTCAATGCAATGGCAAAGCATATTGAATAAATTTCCTAGCCGGGTAATTGTACTGTCACAACAATTTTGGTGATCGCTTTTGTTTGGTCTGTTCCACTGTCGCTGTTGTGTTATCTATTGTTAAGTAAAATGAAAGTGCCTTATTTGAGAGTTTATAGCTCTATTACTTAATAGTATGAATGTCTAAATATTAACTCTGTACCTTTTTTTCTAATTTTCCCGAACGATTTTTTTTTTAAGAAGGAAAACAGAGAAATATTTGCAAATAAACAAATCTTAGGAAATAATGCATAGAGCCGTTCTTACGCCAAAGCGGCTTATTAGTAACTTATTTGCAATCAGGCCGTATATTGTAATAGTTATCCCTCTCGCAGGGATTGCAGCAGGCAGCCTCCTGCCTGTAGACTTTGGACACGGGCAATTCACCCGCCTAGACAGGGACTTTATCCTGCAGAAGACGATTCTTTCCCGGCAGCTCTGGAAGCAAACAGCGAGGCGTCAATTCCGCCCGCCCTCCGCCCTGGGCTCATCCGCGGGCCGTGGCAGAGCTGCGGCGCTGGGAGCAGGGATCCCCCCACACCGTCCCCCTCCTCCATCTGCAATGCCGAGCGCAATTCACTCCTAGGGGGTTGGACGGAGAGGGATTGTTCCCCCGTTCCCCCCCTCGGGAGACCCTTACCCCACCGTGGGGCCCCAGGCGCTCCTGCCGGGGTGGCTTTGGGCGATCCCGCATGTCCACCCCATGGGCAGCACGCTCAGCGCCTGCACCGGGTCTGCAGCCGGCAGCATGGTGGCACTGCACAACGGGCTCTCCTCCCTTGCCATCCTTGCAAGCCCCTCACCGGTGCCTGTGCACTCTTCTGGAAGGGTGTATTGACAACACTGAGGCATTTTATATATTGCAGGGCAACTTGGATGTGTATCCTCTCATTACCATCCCACTGCTCTTGTCACTCCTGGCACCCTCTCCACAGTGTCTTGAGTAGTTTGGGGCCCCATAAATTGCTCTTTCTCAGTCTGGGGACAACCATCCTTCCCTACTCCTCTGCCAAATGAAGGACCAGGTTAGGATGGCAGGGAGAAATCTTTTCCCCAGGCCCAGGGAGCCCTGTCCTAGGAGAGAGCAATCTCCTTGCACCCAGTTCAGCAGAGAGGGCTTCACTCTTGGGCTCCATCTAGCAGGGTACCAGAACTCCAGATGGTCCAGCCGTGGGAAGGATCACAGATCCTAGCATGCCCAAAAGCAGCAGGCGCTGACGGAGCTTGTGTGGCTGCACTGTCACCATCCCTGATCCTCGCTGGTCCTTCGGCAGGGAGCACTGCCTGGACACTGTTAATCAGTAGCAAGTCAAACCCAGCAGTGCCTGGGCTGGAGTCAGACTATCGGTGCAGAAAGCTCTGCATTACTGCCAGCACTGCCTCCACAGAAGGTTACCACAGGGCAGGGATCATGAGCCAGCCCTGCTCTGCCCCAGACCAGGCAGCCAGGTGAACTTCCACCAGTACAGTAGATCTGAGAGTGCCAAACTCAAAATTTCTTATGGTCAAGGCCTATGTCTCCATCTGCTCCTGTCCAGGAAGATGGGGAAGGAAAGAATGTTTCTGCAGCCAGAAATACTCATCTGCTGGCTGAAGAGCAGCCTCCCTAGTCAAAGTTTATGTCAGTGCCATTTGGTCTCTTCCTCTTCACCGCCTGTGAACTTGCACCCCTTCTTTGCTGGGGTGCTGCACCCCTAGAAATATCTTTTCTCACACCCTCCCTGCTGTGTTGGCAGCCCTTGTTCTCCCTCTTCAAAACACTTCTCTCTCCACACTGCTCCTCTCCAAACCTCTCTTCATGGGCATCTTTTACTCCCTCTTCATGGGCATTTTCCCAATATCTGATGTCTCCCCGTCTGACTGATTCTTCTACTCTCAGTGCATTCCTGTTCTCTCAGTAGGTTATTTCCTCTAAGTTTCTCTCTCCTTATTGTTCTCTGAGTTCCTGTCCCCAGGCCGTTTTACGTCCCCAAGTACGCAGAGCAAGGCTGGGATAACTCTGTTTGAGTAAACACTCCTGTCAGGATACATATGGGCTTAGTCCGCTCCTCATAGGCCAAGTTCTGTGTGAAGTTTGTTTGGAAAGAACTTAATCAGATGAGCAATATCAAAGGACAAAATTAAAATGATTGTATATAGCTAAGGTTTTATTTAATTGTTTGAGGTTGCTTGTTTAATAATCTTCCCCCTGAGCAGACACAGACCGTAAATTTTTCTTCCCAAGATTTCTAAAGTTCAGCAGCCAGAAAAAAACGCAAATTATTGAAGCAGGTCAGTGACAAACATCTCTAGCTGTTGGTCCATGAACTGTTATTTTATCTTTAAAGCAGTAGCTATCATGTTAAAATGCCAGAGATTGATCTTGTGTTTCTCTTTACTATCAATTCACTTGCCTATAGCACTGCCACACCCCATTCACTTTTTAAAAATTCATCCCTCGCTGGAAAATTTCAGAGGCAGCTATAAAGAACATGTTAAAATACACATATGGTTTGTTGATTTTAGACCTGTTGGGAACAGAAACAAGCTCTGTAAAGCTACTTTTTGGGCAGGGCTAGGGATTTTATAGCCATAAAGTTCCATCCTGACTTTCACAATGCAAACACTAAATACAGCAATATCCCTGTGACTGCCGTTTGTGCCTTTGTGAAGTACCCTCCTTCCCTCTGGAAGTTCTCTGCTCAGTCACAGAACACAGCAGACAGTCCCATGCTTCTGCAGTTTCCCAGAGCTTCCCAAACCACCTGCCTCCTGCTGCTCTGTGTTACTCTCTCTCATTGCCCCTTCTTTTTTGGCACTGCTTATTTTTTGCCTGCACTGGCATGGGCTGATTCTGCATCTTTTGCTGTGTTAGAGGCAGCAGCTGCACTGCTGTAGCAGGAAAAATAAATAGCTGTGCTACATACCAGGAAGAAAAGACCAACAGATAATAAGAATGTCACAATAATCTACATTTTTTAGGGGCAAATTATAGCCCTTTAAGTTGCATCTGAAAACTGAGCTCTTTGCATATCAGTTGCTGAAACAGACACTGTCCACAGCTGATGGCAGAGCAGCTCAGCCCAGCTAATTGTGCATAAAGCTTTTCTATGTGGCAAATATTACTTAGCAATGGCATGTCATGCTATTCCAGCCAGCACAGACTGTATCTGATGCAGTGTATATCTGCTGGCAAAGCCCAGCTTTATACCAGTACCAGATCTAAGTGTCAAACACTGAGCAGCAGCCCAGGAATGTGGCATGACCATGTCTGCCTGGGTCTAGGGGCTGGTTCCTAGAGTCCCTTAGAGTAAAACATGTGAAAAACAACTATTCAACTCCTCTCTGCCTTCTCTCCCTTTCCTTTTCCCTCTTCCTTCTTCCTTCTCACCACTCTACTTTTGGATGTTTGCTTCAGGAGTTGCTTCTCTTACCCCAGACATCCTGTACTACACCCTGTCTCTTGCCTAGTCTCACCTCCATCTCTTTCCCTCCTTTTTCTCTCCTGTTTCTTTTTTGCTTTCCCATGTCTCGTCCCACATTTCAATCTCTTTTCCAGAGCAACTTCTTATACTTAGACTTTTTGGATCCCTCTTTTGAACCACTCCAACTTCTACTTGTTTTCTCATTCTGTCCTTCAGCCACCAGCCCATATGAGCTCCTCTCTCTTCCCTGACCCAGAGGTCGTGTCCCTTGTGTGGTACTTTTCACACACTGCTGGTCCTTCCTTGCTGATCCCATTAATTGATGCAATGTCCACACCACACTCAGGAGGCATCAGAACAGGTGCCACAGATGTACTTGGACCATTTCAAGCATGCTGGCTCTGACTCAAAGCCAGCAGCACAGTCCCAGGAGGACCAGGGTTGGTGGCACATGCAGCTGGTGGCAGCCTGGGCTGCTCAGGATGGAAGCACTGTTGTCAGCTGCACTGCAGCCCCAAAACTACGTGGCCTCATGAAGATCAGTGATTTCAGGTGCAGTGCTCCAGCCCCAGAATGTCAGGACTGAGTTTGCAGTTAGTCAGCTAAGCTGCACTAGTGGCTCAGAGCCTCTAATCACTCCATGCTCCTAATACTGTAACTGCAGTTAGTCTTCTATACGTAAGTGTAGAACAGTGACTGGATTTATCAAACTGTATTACACAAGGGTTTAGGCATTTGTTCCTTTATTTTAAAATTGTACTGGGTTTATAGCTTGTACTTCCCTCCTCATGGCACATTTCTTCCTTCCTGCTTATGTAAACTTGTAATAGCTAATTTTCCAACTTATGACAGTGCAGTTATTATGAAAATAGGGTAGCTACCAGACAAAAAGTTATTTTCATTGAAATGATTAAAAATAGTTATTCACATTCAAAAGAAAGGCATCATGTCTGTATAGAACATTGATTTCTTCTATTTTCAAAAATCCAGGTGCAGATGTTTATGAAACTTTTTACTAGAAGCTCCTAGTTTATCAAATGAAATGAAAAAATATCTACACTGAAAACAGTAAGCATCTTTCCTAGATCTGCAGAATTGAGGCAAAGGAAGTGTAAGCTACTTCCCCTTCTTAGAGCCCCCCTTGCAAGCCTGAGCACCCTCTCCCAAGTGCAACTTTCAAACACTACTTGGGACTTCATGATGAGTGGAGGAGGACACAAAAGCATTGGCTGGGACCCAAAAGCAGTGGCCTTGCACCTCCATCCACACACAGTCAAGCTGGAGTGATGCATGGTCACCTTTACCTGGGGAAGTTTCTTCCTCTGCCAGCACTGGGGCAGAACTTT